TATCTAATGTCACTGATCTCACTGTAGTCCCTGAATCATACTTGACTGTAGTACTTGATCACATTCAGTCTTCTGAGTTAAATAATATGTATTAAGTCTTGAATTTTAGCCTTTCAAGAGTTAACAGGGAAATGAAATCGCATTAGACTTCTAACCCCTGCAATTCGAGTACAGGACATCTGTCCTGTACGAACAGATGCACAAATGTGTGATTACTAACTACTAACATCAAATTAATCTAATAATTCGAAGGAGGAGTATCGGTGTTCGTCTGTTCTAAATAGGACTTCAACCCGTGAGCAGCCCCCGGGGAATTATGTCGGAAAATCCGACACCATTTAATAATATCAATACAGGCAGATAATATTGCAGCGTTGTATACACAAGTTACCCATAGAAAATGTAACTTGTAGAGGAATTTTCCGTCTATAGAAAACGGGATATCATTGCCACATACTATTATAAATTCACCACCTATTATGGTGGGAATTATTCTTAAATACATTAGTCTTTGGACTTTACCATCATCTCATTTTAATTAACTTAATTACCAATATTAAAATAGAGTAAATGTGACCCTTCTATCACTTACGGTTATCTGGACAATGTAGGCCAGTGGCGTCAGTGAGTGAGGGAGTGGTCAGCCGTTGTTATTGTTATTGTTCTCAGATCAGAGGCGCACGGGAGCAAATTTGGCTTCTGTTAATTTCTCTTGGACGAAGTGTTATGGAAACCAAAGGTCTGCCATTATCAACATGGTGTCAACAAATACAAGGAAAGTGTTCTGCTGAAACCCATTTATCTAATCATTTTTAGCCATTAATGTCAGTAGATAGGGCATACCGGTTAGAATGCGAACAGCCTCTTAAAAAAGGTAATTAAAGCTTGGTCTCTCTGATTCATTGTACAGTGTTTTCTCTGATATAGCTGTCATATATTAGGATTCTGGCTTCATAGCTAGCGTCCTTTTGACAGGTCAAGAAGAGAAAGCAACCTTTGTGTTCCAGTTACTGGGTGATGGAAGCTACCTCAAAGAGGATAATTTGGTGTCTACATCCTAGTTATATCTGGTGGACTAAGCCTTGCTGTACAATATGATAAGGAACCTCCTCAATTTATACTAATATGTAGTTTAATACTGTAGTTTGATTGGCTGCATATATATAAATTCAATATAACCCCCCCCCTTAATGTGCAGTGGACCGATTAGTGAGATTATTGCAGAAATACAGTCCACTTAACATCTTACAAATTGATATCGAAATATATAAATTAATGTAAATATAAGTTCTATATAAATTCATTTAAATTAAATATATATAAATCTCACAGGTCGGTTCCCACACATCACACATGAACGTCCACCTCACATGAACGTCCACCACACATGAACGTCCACCCCACATGAACGTCCACCACACATGAACGTCCACCCCACATGAACGTCCACCACACATGAACGTCCACCCCACATGAACGTCCACCCCACATGAACGCCCACCACACATGAACGTCCACCACACATGAATGTCCACCCCGCATGCACGTCCACCCCACATGAACGTCCACCACACATGAACGTCCATCACAAATGAACGTCCACCACACATGAACGTCCACCACACATGAACGTCCACCACACATGAACGTCCACCACACGTGAACGTCCATCACACATGAACGTCCACCAAACATGAACGTCCATTACACATGAACGTCCACAGACATGAACGTCCACCCCACATGAACGTCCATAATACATGAACGTCCACCCCACATGAACATCCACTGCACATGAACGTCCACCCCACATGAACGTCCACCATACATGAACGTCCACCCCACATGAACGTCCACTGCACATGAACGTCCACCCCACATGAACGTCCACCACACATGAACGTCCACCACACATGAACGTCCACCACACATGAACGTCCACCACACATGAACGTACATTACACATGAACCTCCGCCACACATGAACGTCCACCACACATGAACCTCCGCCACACATGAACGTCCACCACACATGAACCTCCGCCACACATGAACGTCCACCACACATGAACGTCCACCACACATGAACGTCCACCACACATGAACGTCCACTACACATGAACCTCCACCACACATGAACGTCCACCACACATGAACGTCCACTACACATGAACCTCCACCACACATGAACGTCCACCACACATGAACGTCCACTACACATGAACCTCCACCACACATGAACGTCCACCACACATGAACGTCCTCTACACATGAACCTCCACCACACATGAACGTCCACCACACATGAACGCCCACCACACATGAACGTCCACTGTCAGGAGACAGATTTTTCCTGCTCTCTCGTGCACTGAATGAGTTACGAAATGGCATAGTGCACCAGTGATGTGCACCGTGACTCAACTTTCGTAATGTAACTCCTACACAAGTCGTGTTGGGTAATGTTAGACATCCTGTGACGTTTGCTAGCCAATTGATGTCATTCTGATCGCTGTATCAGGTCTGTGAAGGAAATTGCAGGTGGGAGTTGTTTTCAGGGAATCTTTTGTACTAGTTTAAGTGTTGAGGGAGGTTTGGGGGGTTAACGGTTGTAGGCTACCCTCCCCACCACGTGTCCACAGCGTGAGAGAGGGGGTAGCGTCGTGAGGCAGGTACGCCATTGGCCAAGGTGCTTAGGCCTTAGGAATGCTGAACCGTGATTGGCCAAGATACTGAGGGATACCGCATGGCACCCGGAGCCGTCTTGGTGCCAAAATATTATTCATACCAGGAACATTGCTAGCAAAGGACATACTTTCTCGTGCTAAGGCTAAGCACCGGGAAATACCACCTGCAACGTCAATAAAGTCACGCTCAATGTCGTGCTATCATTCTCGTGTGCCGTGCGTAAGAATCCGGCGTCGCGGGAAGGTGTATTCAACGATATTAACAGTGTGAACGTTGTCATCTAAGCCGCGTGATCGTGAGACGCCATCTCAGAGCAACTGGACGGAGGGAGGCTGTTATATGCGTGTGTTAGTGACATCCACCGTCTATCGTACCTTAGCTTGAAGGTACCACAGTGAGACGAGCTAGAGTAGGTTTCAGTATTATGAAGGGAAACCTTAAATTAATAATTACGAGGAATTAGCAGTGAACGGTGAAGGACTCTCATTCTCGTGTGCTGTGTAGAACTGCGTGCCATTGTACCTGTTGTACCGCTTCGCACAGGAAATAGACAAAATACATCATATAAAAAAGCAAAAAGAACATCAACAAAACATGAACATAAAGACAAATACAGAGGAGCACAATAACACGCAAAAGGCATGCGCCTCACACCATAAAAAAGGCATAAATAATAAATTTGGTACAGAGCAAAGAAAGAGGCCCATGCAGGAGCCAGGAAAGAAACACACCCACACACATTCAAACCACCCCGAAGGAAAACCGGAAACAAATTCAAAACAACAAACAATCGTGCAAATAGCAAACAGGAAACATTCATAAAATACATGCAAAGGGCCACAGGAAAGCACACAAGATATAAGCAAAGAAACTTCATAAACTACACAACAAATAAATGACATAAGGACAATAACAAAAACGTATAAGAAAAAATACACAAATTTATAACAAATGTACAGAAAGCCAACCACCCCTAAAACAGAAAAGGGGGAAAAGAAAAACACAAGCACGGGCAGTCTGAACCCGCACACAAAGGAGCAGAACCGAACACAAATGAGGGCACCAACAACCAAGTAACATGAAACCAAAAAAACTACATATGAGAACATAAATAACATAAAATATGTACAAAGAATAAAGCAATTACCAGGACCAGAAAATAATTACACGCACACAAGTGACATACACAACCACACTACCCACCACCCCAACACAATACACGGGGCGCGTGCAACGACACGAAAGAAATAAAACCAAACACCCACAACCGCACACAGCCACAACACAAACACTCATACCAAAGGCAAAGCACAAAACAAATCGCAAACACAACAAAACAGGCCACGCAGGGGTCAGGAACAACACCCACACGCACAGACAAGGACACCCACCTGCGCACGCAGGCACTGGGTAAACATCACGCACAACACAGACATAAACCAACCACACCAATCACTCATACTTCTCCGGGTACTCCCGAGCTGGAAACCGTAAGCAATAAGCTTCCCAAACAAGTTGGTCACCTTTAGGAATCGGACATCCAGGAGTCGCAGTAGGCCTAGGCATCGAATTCGGTATGCCCAACGTGAAACACTGTGCCCGCGGAACCCAGATGGTAGATGGGCACCTGGGAACAGGACGCACCCACACTCAAAATACAGAGATACCTTAGATCTGTCGATCACCTCGCCGGACGGGAGGATGAAAGGGATGGGTTTCCCCCTAGGAAGCTGGTCACAGGGCCGCACACTTGGAAGCACACCGGGCTGCACGGCGGGCCGCACACCGGTCCGACCACTAGGGCGCGCACTCTGTTCGACGCTGGGCACCGCACCGAGCTCTGCGGAGGGTGGCTCTGCAGGGGCCCCAGTTCCCCCACCAACCGGAACAGGAGCAGAGGCCCCCCCCCCATCGCACATCCTTCGACAACACCACTACAAGGTCGCGATCACCAGAGGCTACCGCCCACTGAGGGGAGCCACCAGCAGGAAGCACAGCGTCCAACACAGAAGGCACCACAGCGTCGTCCACAGCATCATCATCCATCACAACACGCTCCTCTGCCGACGTCCGGCGAGGGGACACATCTCGAGCTGAACGACGGCGCTTAAAAAGATGCCTCTGATCGTCGGAACTGTCACCCCCAGCAAACAGTGCCCCAGAAGAACCATCGGCAGGCGGCCCCAAAGCCGGGGTAGCACGATCACGCAGAACAGCAGCCTCAACGACGCAGGGCAAAAAGCCACTACCATTCAAGGAGACCGGAATTGGAAAAGGAAGAGACACAGCAGGTGGCAGGGTAGACTCCAGCACACATGAGGTATCCAGCGAGGGTGACGGAATCGGCAGAGGAGAAGAGGTCCCAGGAAGCACATGTTCTTCAGCAGGGGATGCAGGCGCCACCCCAACAGCACCATCCAAGGCCACCACGGAAGCAACCGGATGCGGATGCACCTCCGCATCCGTCAAACTGCGACGGTCCAAAGCAGGCGCCTCTAAGTCCCCCGTGCTCACCGGTGGGGCAGACAGATCAGGCCCAGACGGAGCGACAGCTGGAACCACCGCGGGAACCACACCAGGCACCTGCACAGAGCGAGGACCCGCCGGGAAATCCCCACTCACAGATAAGCAGTGAAAATCCTCCTCCAGGAAAACCGAAGGGGCCTCAGCACGACGAGCGTCGCAACTGGCCGCTCGCTACGTGGCCCTCAGCACCACCACACCAAACACCACCAAACATGTGCGGGTTTGACCTTGATAAAAGGTCCGTAGGGAAAGCCCACAAAACGAAACCCTGGATATTATAGGGCTCATGAGCCGCATGACAAGCATGCGAGAACTCAGCCGACCCGCACTCAAAATGTTGAACCGGTGCTTCACCACCGTTCCAAACCGCGTAAACAATGCCATGAGTTCCGTCTCGGGGAAGGTCACTGGCACGCCGTGAACACTCACAAACGTCAAGGGCCCTCAGGGATCCGATATCTCCACAGACACAGCCGAAGCCGGAAGAGGAAGCGAGCGGCCATCCCAGCGAGCCACAAACTCGTGGTAAACATGTGATGCGGCAAACGACACCGCATCACGGGTAGGCGATAACTTCTTAAGTCCCAGGAGCTCGGGGACGTCGACACGGAGTACGTCTAGGAGAGCAATTTCCACAATGGGCCAGTCCACAGCAGCAGAAAGGTCCAGCCGTACAGTATCAAACCTCTGAATACGGCCATTACCAGCCGCGTCCAACCTGCCAGGTGGAGCCCCGACTAGCGGGCGCTCCACACCCCCCACAGCAAACCACCAGTCAGAAACGGCAGATGATTACTGACAGCTGAAGCCCGACGTCTTCACCCTCTGGCGGCGCAGCCAGGAATCATTGAGTCCCTTTTCAGCAGTGAAAGTGGTAACGGGGAGGTTTCCCTTAGTTATTGATAATTCTTTTATTATATTGGCCAGCGCTTATTTTACTGTTGTGTTGTGGTAAAGTTGTGAATTACAGGGGAAGTCATTTACAAGTTTTGACGTGAGTGGCAAGGATGCACTGTGTTGTACTGTGATGTACCGTGTTGTTCCGTGTGTGAACTGTAGACAAGTTGTGTCCTTGGTGGAATGCGTTGTGTACTTTGAAGTATTCCGTGAGAATTGAGGTCATTTAACGTCACCAGGGGTCACGATTTACTTAACGAGGTCATTTTTGCTTTGTTGAACATCGTTGTGATTAACGTAGAGACGTGTAACGGCAACAGTCACAATGAAGTTCACGCGGTGGAGGAATTGTCAAGTGAAGACTTACGTAGTGTTAACGAATTAACGAGCTGTCGTTAATTAAGTTGTGATTAACGTAAGGGGTTGACCGGTCTGTCATGATCGGAGTAAATTGCGCTGTAATTTAGCTGTTGTAATTCGTTGAACTGATCGGATCTGTCTGCGGGCAGAGGGATTAAGCACTCGTAGCTAATTAAGGAGAAATAGTACTCGCCACTTAGTGAATTCACAAGGTGTTGATGTTGTTGTTTACACGGAGTGTCTTGTAACCTTGTGTGGTACAGTAGTCTACCCTCGTTAAGGTAATCTTGTCGTAAGACCGGAAATGAACTGTCAGTTGAGAGACAGTAGGCTTTATCAATACTCGTCTGAATTAATAGGCTGTTGTATTCAGTAATTAATTGGGAATTACTCACCGATTGTTTGACTTTCAAGTTGATGTAATTATTTGCTTTACGAGTTATTGCTGATATTTAAGTGTCGTTGAGAAACGTGTGTGTTAACGTAATTGTTTAAATTCAATTAGTGTAACTTTTGTTGTTGATTGTCCTGAGAGACAAATGTTAACTTAAGATTTTTATAAGGGGTTATCATTCTTGGATCACCCGCCTTGTTACTTGGTACCTCGTTGAGAGCAGCGAGCGCCAGTCAAGTTTTGTGATTATAGTATTGGTCACCGTGAAGCCGTGACAATATTGATTGCAAGCTTGCGTCACCAGTGGGCATCACGTTGTTCAGTTAGTGTCTTGTCGTCAGCCAGTGACGAGGGGATAAGGATACCGTGGTCCATCAGGCTGTTGAACAGCTGTTCTTTAATGCGCCACTGGAGTGACAGTAAAGTAACGTAAACTCTTTGTTGTAGTAGTTCTAGTTCTTTGTGAATAAATTGTTATGTTTTAGAAAACGGTCGCTTAAGTCCAACTTTCAAATATTACTGTCCCACATTTCATGTTCTGCAACGCAATGGAACAGCTTAATTTAATTAAGTTCTGCAACGCAACGGAATTAATTCTTTTGATAATTGTCAAAGAAAAAAAATCTCACAACGTCCACCACACATGAACCTCAACTCACACATCAATGTCCACCCACACATGAACCTCAACTCACACATCAATGTCCACCACACATGAACGTCCACCACACATGAACCTCAATCCACACATCAATGTCCACTACACATGAACGTCCACCACACATGAACATCCACCACACATGAACCGCAAAAAGATGACATGACGACGATTGCCCCAACGCCCAAATATGGCGCCTTGACAGGTCGCCCACAATTTTTTCTTGGAAATGCCAATTATTAGCTCCTTCCATTCTTGGCTTGAGTGTGATGGGTCATGGAACAGGTGCCAATTAGGAACACCTGCCCAAACGATCCTCCTGAAGGATTCAAAATATCGCAGGTCCTCAGGGCACGACCACCCTACTGGCTTCAGGTAGCCCATTTATTGTTGCCACTACTCAAGAGATACGTCACAAATCGTCCTTCATCAACTTCCTCACACGTTACTCACGTAGCTTCTCACAAATTCTGCACCATAAGCCACAAATATCCTTTTTCAATAGGAGCGAAGACGTACGTCCTTCTCTTCTTACCATCACAACTTAAGTGACATCTTAAGACTTCTGCCCACGTCACGTCGCATACTGTCAAGATCTCACCTCGTTTCCTTAAATGATGCTCATCCACTGCTTACCTTCTCGTCAGTCAAATTTAATGACGGTTACTTGGCTTAATTATTTTCCCTGACTCTTATATCTTGTCAGGTAGGGAATAACTCTCACAGTGGGATGGTCCTACATTACGAGGTCAATTGGGGTTTCATAATAGAATTCACAATTATTTCACCTTATGTTAAAATTTAAGGGCATCGTGATTTCGTGATTGAGATGTACCGAGGCCACTCTGCGCCACTACGACATCACTGAAACAACCCAGACAAAATCACCTTTAATCCATCAGAGTTTAATGAGGCTTGCCCTAAACATCTGTCTTCCTACCTCAGACAGGCAGACATCCTCTTTTATTGATATAGAATGTTGAATAGATAAGAAAAACATTGTTATTTAAATTGTCTCAATAACTCGAGTGTGTCTGTATCCCACCACACCAGACTGGGGAGTGCCACCTGTACCTGGCCTCCGAGACCTACCTGAGCTCCACCAGCATGTCTCTCGCCTTCCCCAAGGACTCTCCACTCAAGTCTATGGTCGACCCTCTGTAAGTGTCTCACAATTGAATATCATATAATTTGTCCTTTTAATCATTATGTCAATAATAAATAGATCATATGTGGCAGATTTCTTGGTCTGTTATTGTGTTTTACTGTGGATTGAAGATTTTTTTAGGGCATTCCTGCCCGGGGCCTAAGCCTCCTGCTGGCCCACTAAGTGTTACTCATTCCTAGTTTCCGTCTTACTAAGGGGTATGAGTATTTATGCCACGTATAATTCGCTTCAGTAGGATTATACCCAATGTGTTTAATAACTCCTTCTGCTTTGTTGAATCTTAGATGAAATCTTATTGGGTTTATAACTCTTCACTGTGTTAAATGATGTTCTAGTGGTCTGTCGGGCATTTGGAGGTAATACCTTCAAGAATATTATACCATACAAGCAGTGTGCAAGCACACACATTGGCACCAAACAATGTGTAAGCACTATGACTGCAAGTAGTGTGCAAGCTTTATGACTGCAAACAGTGTGCAAGCACTATGGCTGCAACAGTGTGCAAGCACTATGGCTGCAAGCAATGTGCAAGCACTATGACTGCAATCAGTGTGCAAGCACTATGACTGCAAGCAGTGTATAAGCCCTATAACTGCAAGCAGTGTACAAGCACTCTGACTGCAAACACTCTGACAGCAAGCAATATGTAAGCCCTATGACTGCAAGCAGTGTGCAAGCACTATGACTGCAAGCAGTGTGAAAGCACTATGACTGCAAGCAGTGTGCAAGCACTATGACTGCAAGCAGTGTGCAAGCACTATGACTGCAAGCAGTGTGCAAGCACTATGACTGCAAGCAGTGTGCAATCATTAGACTCCAAACAACGTTCAAGCACTATGACTGCAAGCAATGTGCAAACACTATGACTGCAAGCAGTTACTTGCCTCGTATGTTCGTGTCTTAGAAACATCGTCTTAATCTGAAGTTATATCGCACCCTCATGTTTTGCAGCTCCCACAACAGTAAAGGATTTAATCTCAAGTTTTAAGGCAGAAACAAGACATCATAGTTAACTAACACAGACAGACAGACAGACAGACAGACAGACAGACAGACAGACAGACAAGCTCAGGAATCTGTACTCCAGTTGATTGACAGTTGAGAGGCGGGACCAAAGAGCCAAAGCTCAACCCCCGCAAGCACAAATAGGTGAGTACAAATAGGTGAGTACAGACAGACAGTCAGACAAACAGATGGACACAGTCAATGACATTTTCATAGAACATATTCCATTACTCAACTTAAGCATATATGCACCAAATAATATTTCTAGTTAACTTCTTACATGTTCTCTACATAATCTTATTTCTCTAGAACATAGGCTTACATATTTGTTTCTATAACATCCTCTCTGTATTCCATCTCCTGTCTGCATACTCATAAAAGTGTCTTAAATAACTTTTCAAGGTTACATCTCTCTTTCTGTAACAACAACAACAACAACACTGCTCTTTAAGTAGCAACAATAACAACAACAACAACACTGTTCTTTAAGTAACAACAATAACAACACTGCTCTTAAGTAACAACAATACTGCTCTTTAAGTAACAACAACAACAACACTGCTCTTAAGTACCAACAATAATATTGCTCTTTAAGTACAACAACAACAACAACAACAACACTGCTCTTAAATAACAACAACAATACTGCTCTTAAAGTAACAACAACAACAACACTGCCCTTAAGTAACAACAACAATACTGATATTTAAGTAACAACAACAACAATAACACTGCTCTTTAAGTAACAACAAAAACAACAACACTGCTCTTTAAGTAACAACAATAAGAACACTGTTCTTTAAGTAACAAAACCAACACTGTTCTTTAAGTAACAACAACAACACTGTTCTTTAAGTAACAACAACAACACTGTTCTTTAAGTAATAACAACAACACTGTTCCTTAAGTAACAACAACAACAACAGCAACAACACTGTTCCTTAAGTAACAACAACAACACTGTTCTTTAAGTAACAACAACAGCAACACTGTTCTTTAAGTAACAACAACAACAACACTCTTCTTTAAGTAACAATAATAACAACAACAACTCTGCTCTTTAAGCAACAACAACAACAACAACACTGTTCTTTAAGTAACAACAACAACAACAACACAGCTCTTTAAGTAACAACAACAACACTGCTCTTTATGTAACAACAGTAACAATATTTTTATTTAAATAACACTATCAACAACACTCCTCTTTAAGTAAGAACAACACTCCTCTTTAAGTAAGAACAACATCACTGCTCTTTACATAACAACAACAACACTTCTCTTTAAGTAAAAACCAAACTCCTCTTTAAGTAACAACAGCAAAAAACAAATTCCTTTTTAAGTAACAACAGTAACAACATTGTTCTTCAAGTAACAACAACAACAACACTGCTCTTTAAGTAACAACAGCAGTGATTTGTATTTTAAATATTAATGGATGATAATTAATGTTGTTTTTAGTTTAGTTTGGAAGCACCGTGTTGCTTGTAAGAGAGGGAGAAGCATTGTTCCATGAGATGAAGTCTCATGGAACAATGCTAAGAACCGTTACCAGGCTAAAAACTATAAACAACGAGACTACAATGTGCTAGACTACAAACTATAAGACTTCACACGGCAATGTTACAAAATACGTAAAAATTACCTACAACATTTAAAACTTCGAGATTACAAACTACTAGACTATAGACAACGAGACTACAGGCTACGAGAATATGAACTATGAGGCTACATATTATAAACTACATGACAACATATTGCGAGTCTACAAACTGCGATAGTAAAACTACACGAATACATTATAAAAGCCTACAAACAACGAGACTATGAACTACAGGATTACAAAACTACGAGACTACGAAATACAAGACTACAAACTACAAGTTTATAAATATAAGATTGCAATGTATGAGACTACAAATTACAAGCCTTCGCACCATGAGACCTCATATTACACGACTAGAAAGTATTTAACATTGAACTAAGAGACTTCCCTTGAAAATATTATAAATTATGAGACCACAAACTATAAGCCAGTTTTCTACAAGTCTTCAAACTACAAGACTATAAATTTCAATATTTCAAACTACAGCATTAAAAAGTACAGGACAACAAATTGTGAGACTACAAATTACCAAATACAAACTACAAGACTACAAACCACGAGAATATAAACTACAAAACCACAAACTACAAAACTTCACATTACAAGAAAGCAGACTACAAGACTACAAAATACGAGACTACAAACTATCAGACTACATGCAATGATAATTCAAAGAATGAAACTGAAAACTACAAAACTTCACACTACAAGACAACAAACTACAAGGCTACACACTACGAGACTTGCTACTACAAGACTACTAACTACAAGACTACAAGGTATATGACTTCATAATGCAAAACAACAGTCTACGAGACCACAAAATAAAAGACTTCACACTACAAGACTACAAACTGCAAACTTCGAGACTGCAGTCCACAAGATTACAAACTACGAGACTACAAACGACAAAATTTGGAAATACAAAGCTAAACACTACGAGGATAAAAATATGAGATTGCAGACTGTAAACTACGAGACTATAAAATACGAGATTACAAACTACGAGATAACAGAATACAAACATACAAACTACGAGATAACAGAATACAAACATACAAACTACGAGATAACAGAATACAAACATACAAACTACGAGATAACAGAATAAACATACAAACTACGAGATAACAGAATACAAACTACGAGATAACAGAATTACAAACTACGAGATAACAGAATACAAACTACGAGATAACAGAATACAAACTACGAGATAACAGAATACAAACTACGAGATAACAGAATACAAACTATGAGATAACAGAATACAAACTCCGAGACTACATACTACAAACTACAAAACTACAAACTGAGAGGCAACAAACTACGATACAAAAAACTACGAAACTTCGCACTACAACCAAAAAAACAGCAAGACTTCACACAACAAGACTACAAACCAGCAAGATTACAAACTACTAGACTAAAAACTATAAAGCTACGAGACCTTACATTACAAGACTACAAACTACGAGACTACTAACTACAAAACTACAAACTACGAGGCTGTAAACTACGAGACTTCACACTACAAGAATACAAAGTGCGAGACGACACACAACAAGATTACAAACTACAAGACTAAACACAACGAGACTACAAACTACAAGACTAAACACTACGAGACTACAAATAACGAGGCTACAAACTTCGAGACTACAAATTACAAGGCTAAAAACTACGACATTTTACACCAGAAAACTAAAACTACGATAATACAAACCACAAAACTTCAAGCTACTGAATTTCATAATATGAGACTAAAACTACAGACTGCAAACTACAAGACTACAGCCTACAAAATCTGCAAACTTAAAGACAAAAAAGTACGAGACTTCGCATTACAAGACTTCAAACTATGTTACTGCAAACTACAAGACTTCACGCTACAACACTGCAAATTTCAACATAAAAAAGTGCCTGATGTCACAGGACAAGACTACAATCTACGAGACTACAAACTTCGAGACTTCAAGCTACATGATTGAATATACGTAATGTTACATCTCAAAACTACAAACTACGAGACTACTAACAACAAACTAAAAAATGCAGGACTAAAATTTTTAGTTATTATTATTACCATCTTAATTGACAAAAATTAATTACAATTTTGCCTACTCTTAGGAATTCAATTAGGTCTTATTAGAGTGAGGATAATGCTGGAATTCACTGTCACACAGGACAGAGGATCATACACAAGACAATAGGTCTAAACTGAAGGATAAAGCACATATTTATAACTATATATATATATATATATATATATATATATATATATATATATATATATATATATATATATATATATATATATATATCACGAAAATAAACACGTGATATATATATATATATATATATATATATATATATATATATATATATATATATATATATATATATATATATATATATATATATATATATATATATATATATATATATTTATATATATTATATATATATTTATATATATATCGGCAGAGGCCGACAGATATGGACGGCATGGCCTTCTTTGCCAAAGGACCGGAGGATGGCATGCAAGACACGGCGAGGTTAATGACATTATTAAGAGAAGCCTTACCACAGCCGGTTGTCCAGCAGAGAGAGAGCCCCGTTACCTAATGTCCCGCAACTCTGATGAGCCTGTCGGTCGCCCAGACGGAATTACGGTGAACCCCTGGAAGAATGGTAGACAGTTGGTGTGGGACTACACTTGCGTTTCAACTTTAGCCAATACCTATGTTGACTTCAGTGCTACACAAGCAGGAGGAGCTGCCAATCACCGGGAAGCGGCCAAGTCACGTAAATACAGAGACCTTGAGCACCACTACAATTTTGTCCCCATTGCCTCAGAGACGCTTGGTGCCTGGGGTAAAAGTGCTGCTAGCTTTTTAAAGGAGTTGGGGTCTAAGCTAATCGAAACAACTAGAGACCCCAGAGCTGCCAGTTTTCTTTTTCAGCGCCTTAGTGTGGCAATCCAGAGAGGAAATGCTCACTGCATCCATGGTTCGTGCCCGCCATCTGAGGAGCTGGAGGAGCTATTCAACTTATGACAAGCAGCCTTGTACCCTGTATGTAATCAATATTGTAACTTTTTTTGTGTAATGACATTTTCAAATAAAGTTAGATAAATATACACACTTAACAAAAGAATAGGGGTGGTAGGAGAAGAAAATATCAAAGTGTTCAGTGAGGATCCAAAAGGTCTTCTCTGAGTACTCTTTATTTTCTTCTCTGAGGCTATGGGTCCCTACATTTGCACCAGAGGTGGTACCCCTTCTAGGTATATATATATATATATATATATATATATATATATATAATATATATATATATATATATATATATATATATATATATATATATATATATATATATATATATATATATATATATATATATATATATATATATATATATATATATATATATTATATATATATATTTATGTATATATATTATATATATATATATATATATATATATATTATTAAATATGACCGAAAAAGTAAGATTAATAATTCTAACACAAATTTTCTCAATCATTCGTACATTTTTTTTCACTGTTGGAGGTAATTCAAAAATCAATTCTCCAAAATTCATTTTTATTTCTAGTCTGACGCGACACGAGCACGTTTCGTAAAACTTGCTGCTGTTGACTGGTGTTGAGGATGTCGAGGTGTTGCTCAATGCGGGTACGGATACTTTCGTCGATGTTCCTATTTCTCCACTCGTTTGTAGCATGAAGTAGTTGCGTTTTGTTGTCTTTGATTTGATTTGACAACAAAACGCAACTACTTCATGCTACAAACGAGTGGAGAAATAGCAACATCGACGAAAGTATCCGTACCCGCATTGAACAACACCTCAACATCCTCACATACCGACATCACCTCAGCACTGAAACAAGGATTATCAAGAAACTTACAACATTATATGGAGGACCTATGGCAATTCCACGACCAAGAGATGGCTTCCTGAACCTTGCAGGAATTAACCTCACTGAGGACCAAGTCACTCTCCTAAATCTGGGCATAAACTGTCACGTTATGTCCAGACCGAGTGAGATGGCCCGGAAAGTAGAGTTGGAAATTCTGTTGGACGACATATTCGACCTCGAGACACAAAAGAAGGTCACTACCAAAGATACCTTACAAGCAGAACTTATTGCAGAAGGAGGAAAGAATCGAGGCAATTACAGAAGCACCATACTGTCCCCCGAGCTCAAAGCGGCAGCTAAAAGCCTTCGTGAGAACAAGGAGATAGTTGTCAGGAGAGGTGACAAGTCGCCAATATATGTCATTCTTAAAAAAGACGAATATCTGGCGAAAATGAACTTCATACTCTCTGATCAAACTAAGTTCCAAAGGGTAACGAAGGACACTACAGCCGAATTGAAAGCAAAGGTCAACAAACTGATCGAAACTGTGAACGCCAAGAAATCCGGACTCCACTTGGCAAAGATCATTGGGGAATATAAACCTGGATATGCGTATGGAAATGTCAAGACACACAAGCCTGGAAACCCACTTCGGCCAATCATTAGCCAGATACCCACACCCACGTACAGACTGGCGAAGCGACTCAACGGCCTGCTGACTCCTTATGTTCCTTGCGCCTTCAGCCTCAAGTCTCCAAAGGAATTTGTTGACTTATTGTGGGGCACACGGGCCACAGGGATAAGAGCCTCGTTGGACGTAGAATCGCTGTTTACCAACGTACCTGTGGACGAGACAATCGGGATGATAGCCGACAGAGTGTATCGTGATCCAGCCTGTACTCCTCTTGACATACCCGAAAATATTCTAAGGAAACTACTCCAAGCTTGTACAAAAGAGGCACCCTTCTTGAGCCCGGATGGGCACATGTATAAGCAAGTAGATGTGGTCGCCATGGGTTCTCCCCTAGGTGTCCTGTTTGCAAACTTCTACATGGGTACCATCGAGCAAAAAGTCTTAGTCGACATGAACTTGAAACCGGCCATATACTGCAGGTATGTTGACGACATTTTTACACAGGTACCTGATGTCAGACATCTGCAGGAGCTGAAGTAGGCATTTGAGCAGAGTTCCGTGCTGCGTTTCACTTACGAGATGGAAAAGGATGGGAAGCTGCCCTTTCTAGATGTAACAGTCATGGAAAAGAGCGGAGGTTTCCACACTGCAGTCTACACTAAGGAAACGAACATAGGAATGTGCCTAAATGTCAACAGCGACTGCCCAGACAGGTGCAAGAGGAGTGTTGTTAACGCATATGCTCTAAGCCACAGATCAGAATGGAAGCAAGTCGACGAAGAGCTCTGTAGGGTAAGGCAGGTCCTAGTCAACAACGGCTTCTCCAATGGTTTCGTCGAAGACATCATAAGAAGGAAAGTGAAACGCCATGCAACCTCTGAAGAGACAACTAACACAACGCCTATACCCCTTATTAGACTATTTTACAGGAACGTCTTTTCCACAGCTCATAAAACCGAGGAAAGGGTCCTGAAAGATATTGTTAATAGAAACGTTATCCCTACAGACAAAAATCAGAGGATACAACTGACGATTTACTATAAAACCAGAAAAACGGCCAGCCTACTCATGAGAAACTCTCCAGACACAAAGCAGAACGCTTTAAAAGAGACCAACGTCGTCTATGCCTTCAAATGCCCACTTGGGGACTGTAAGCTCCAAAAAACCCAGTATATAGGCAAGACAACAACATCTCCTTCTAGGCGTTTAACGATGCATAAACAACAGGGCTCCATTAAGGAACATATAATCTCTTCCCACAACCAAATTATCGCCAGAGAAATCCTAGTAAACAACACAGAAATCATCGATAGATACAACGATAGCAGGCGGCTTGACGTTTGCGAGGCACTACACATTAAGAAGTCAACACCAGCAATCAACAGCCAATTAATGCACAACTATATTCTACCCACCTCAAGACTCCGCATCAATATAGAAGCATCAAGAAATATGGACCAATAGGCTTTCTACAATCACTTCCATTTCAATACCCATTGTTTCGTGTTCTGTCTTGTGTTGATGAAATTAATACCCTAGTTATGCCACCTCTTGTTCTGTCTTGTGTTGATGAAATTAATACCCTATTAATGCCACCTCACCCCATCCACCTCACTCAAATGTAGATATAAACAAAATCGGAGATGTGTAAGTTCTATTCAGTTGTGTATTTGTAAACTAAAGTCTTTGAAAATGTAATAAGTTTTACGAAACGCGCTCGTGTCGCGTCAGACTAGAAATAAAAATGAATTTTGGAGAATTGATTTTTGATTTACCTCCAACAGTGAAAAGAAATGTACGAAGGATTGAGAAAATTCGTGTTAGAATTATTAATCTTACTTTTTCGGTCATATTTAATAATATATGTCTACAGGAAAGACTGCTACCAAAATATACTAATATATATATATGTATATATATATATATATATATAATATATATATATATATATATATATAATATATATATAATTTTTTTTTTTATAAACCTAGAAGGGGTACCACCTCTGGTGCAAGTGTAGGGACCCGTAGCCTCGGAGAAAAAAATAAAGAGTACTCAGAGAAGACCTTGTGGATCCTCACTGAACACTTTGATATTTTCTTCTCCTACCACCCCTATTCTTTTGTTAAGTGTGTATATTTATCTAACTTTATTTGAAAATGCCATTACACAAAAAAGTTACAATATTGATATATATATATAGTTACAATATTGATATATATATAGTTACAATATATATATATATATATATTATATATATTATATATTATATTATATATATATATATATATATATATATATATATATATATATATATATATATATATATATATATATATATGTCGTACCTAGTAGCCAGAATGCACTTCTCGGCCTACGCAAGGCCCGATTTGCCTAATAAGCCAAGTTTTCCTGAATTCTCAGCCTACTATGCAAGGCTCGATTTGCCTAATAAGCCAAGTTTTCCTGAATTAATATATT